GGGCGGGGAGCGCCCTGCGGGGCGCCCCGGCGACCGTGCGCGGCCTTGCGCTGGGGCCCCCAGAGGCAGGGTCCCCTCGGGGAGCGCCCCGGCCCCGCTCCGTTGCCTTCCCGGGAGCCTGGGCGTCGCCGGGGCTTGGCTCTATCGGAGCTGCGGGAAGTTTTGCTGGCCATTCCCCGCCACGGGCGCCCGGGCCCGGAGTGCGTGCGCTCCGGGGCGCCCCGCGGCATCGTTTGGGGTCGCTCTGCGCGGGCGTTCAGCCAGGGAGCCGCGCGGGTCGGGGCGTCCTGACGCCGCGCGCGCGCTCTTGGAGACGGGGAGGCTGAGCGCTACTGCGCCCCGGCGGTGCGGGGCCGGCGAATACTCGAGGGGAGGAACCGCCGAGAGCGCAGGAGCCGGGGCGAGGGAACGGAGTGGGCGCGGGGCTCGGGGAGCCAAAGGCGTCCAACCCCAGGGTCGGTGCGGGCGTCTTGCCGCGCCGCCTCCCGAACTCAGGTGCGCTGACGGCCGCGGTGAGGCAGGTGCAAGCCCGCAGGTGCACGCGGGGAGCTCCTCGCGACTACACTGGGGGCCATGTCCAGCTACCCTGAGCCCGCGTCGAGGCGACATTCACACCAGCTTGCGTTTCTGGAGCCGCCCCGAGCCCCTGGACAGGTCGTTGCCGTCTCAAAGGGGGTCACCAGTGCCTGCTGCCCACAGTGCTGAGTGCAGAGACCAGGGCTTCGGGACCTCGTGAGTCCTGGCTGGAGTAATAGCGAGTGCTGACGGTGGTCGGGATGCAAGCTCTGTGTGTCCAGCCTTCACCAGATCCCATCGAAGGACCGACCATTCCTGACCCTTGAGACAACTGAGGCACACCAAGGTCAAGTCACGAGGAATCTGGGCCGCCTGATTCCCAAACCCAGAACCTAACCCCTGTGTCCCGCCGCTTCCCCAGGTCGGTGCGCTAGGACTTGCGGGGTCCTGGAAGCGCCCAGTACCTCATCCGGAATGGGCAGGGCTTTTGAGATGGAAGTCGTGTGTCCACGTGTCATTCTCTGTCCAGCATTGTCCCTAGTCGATTGGCAGTAGAGCTAGTGCCTGACACCTCATGCCACCCTTCCCCATCGTCCAGACAGCACCCCCAACGCACACGCAGGCACACAAGTGCACACACGTGCACAGGCATACACATATATGCACACACGCTCAACTTGCCATATCCAAGCAGCTCCTACCTTTGTCTTCTCTCTAATGAGGACAACCTGTTCCCCTTTCAGTCTTCGGCTCTGCTTTTCCGCGTTCAGTGTTGATGGGACCGGTGAAGGGTGAAGGGTTAGGCTTAGGGTTGCATGTGCTCCTAGCGTAGACACAGGTGTGGTACTCACAGAGGTGTCGCAGTGACCACACTGTCGCATCTGACAGCTGAGCTGGGGCATTTCCATCCTCACCACAGTTGTGTTGTCCACTACCTGCTTGATCTACCATCTTCCCTTCTCAGACCACGGGTTCACCAGGGGCAGCGGCCATGTCCACTCCTGCTTGTTTTCCCCAGCCCAGCAGGTCTGGACCCTTGCTGCGCACACTCAAGCAGACATAGTAATCAGTGTCAGCAGAACGTGTTCACCGAACATGTGGCCCCTGCCATGCGCGTGCTTTGTGGGCCCGCCTACCTGCAGGTACGGTAGAGCGGCTCAGTGCTTTGCAGGCTGTGGGTGCTGCTAGGTCACTGCACAGCAATCTCAGTCCGATGCAAAGAGGCTCCCGTGAGCACGTGTGATTGATGAATGTCATTCTCCGTGATCCGTGGAGGGGAGGGAGCTGCTTTTCCTTGACAGCATTTTTTCCTGGAAGAATTTTCTAGACTTATACCTTTCCGTACAGAAGCCACTAACCATTTAGGTGCTTAATTTGTGGACAGTTGGACTGAGATGTGAGGTAGGTGTAAAATGCACCTTGAATTTCAAAGAGATAGTCCACAAAGTATCCCACCTATAATTTGCATGCTGACTGCATGTTGAAGCGATAGCATCTTAAATGTAAATGAATTTTGCCTGTTTATTTTACTTTTGTTTTTAAAGATTTATATATTTGAGAGGCAGAGTTAGAGAGAGAGAGAGATCTTCCATCCACTGATTCACTCTCCAAATGGCCACAATAGCCAGGGCTGGCCAGGAGCCAGGAGCTTCAATAATGTGAGTGGCAGGGGCCAAGCACTTGAGCCATCTTTTTTTTTTTTTAAAGATTTATTTGTTTACTTGAAAGTCAGAATTACACAGAGAGAGAGGGAGAAACAGAGGGGCAGGGAGAGGGGGAGGAGAAGAGAGAGGGAGAGAGAGGAGGGAGAGGATCTTCCATCCACTGGTTCACTCCCCAGATGGCACAATGGCTGGAGCTGCACTGATCTGAAGCCAGGAGCCAGAAGCTTCTTCCGGGTCTCCCACGCGGGTGCAGGGGCCCAAGCACTTGGGCCATCTTCCACTGCTTTCTCAGGCCATGGCAGAGAGCTGGATCAGAAGTGGTGCGGGCCGGCGCTGCGGTTCACTAGGCTAATCCTCCGCCTTGCGGCGCCGGCACACCGGGTTCTAGTCCCGGTCGGGGCGCCAGATTCTGTCCTGGTAGCCCCTCTTCCAGGCCAGCTCTCTGCCTGTGGCCAGGGAGTGCAGTGGAGGATGGCCCAAGTGCTTGGGCCCTGCACCCCATGGGAGACCAGGAGAAGTACCTGGCTCCTGCAATCGGATCAGCGCGGTGCGCCGGCCGCAGCGCGCCAGCCGCGGCGGCCATTGGAGGGTGAACCAACGGCAAAGGAAGACCTTTCTCTCTGTCTCTCTCTCTCACTGTCCACTCTGCCTGTAAAAAAAAAAAAAAAAAGAAAGAAAGAAAAAAGAAGTGGTGCGGCCGAGTCTTGAACCGACACACACATGGGATGCCAACGCCACAGGCTGGGGCTTTAACCCACTGTGCCATAGCGCCAGCCTCTATTTTACTTGTTTAATGTGGCTATCATGAAATGAAAAATGACATCTATGGCCCATATTGTGTTCTGTTGTATAGTGCTGTTCTAGAAAACCAAAACTCTGACTCCCAAAGCCACAAGTCAAGATGATGTCCACTGTGAAAATGACCCTTTATGACCGTGCCCTTGAAACGCCCTACAGGGAAGCTGGACTGCTTTGCCATGTCGGTCCAGAGCTACAGATGGAGCAGAAGTCTGCAAAAGTCCAAAACTAGCACATCAGACTACCCCAGGGAAGCCACAAATAGATCAGGCCTGGCCAGCCGTCTGCGGCCGAGAACTGCGATGGAATCTACCTGCCCGAAGCTCACCTCCACTGCTGCCTGGCCGCAGAGCCAGACAGGGCGGGCAACACTGGGCTTCACAGCCAGCTGCACCTGCAGAGCCACTATGGCTGGCCCTTGCCTGGCCACCTAACTTGCCCGCCAAGAAGGGCTGGCCAACTCACCCTCAAAGTCCTGAAGCAGGAGGTGTAGCTGCGCCCGATAGAGCCCTCGGCTGCAGACCAAAGCTCGGGTTTTGGTGGTGCCATTGCCGTTTTTGTCCTGCAGGTAAGACCTCACTCCCCAGTGGATGCCACCGTGAGTCTCAAATGTTTCACTGGATTTCTTCGTTACATGGCAAGACACCCCACTGTAGAATTCCACCTGGTTTTTGGTGCTGACTTCCCGCCCGATGTGACAGACACTGTCACAGATGCTGAGAAATATCTGAAAAGAGAATCACCGGTCCTGCTGCTCCTTCTTGGTCATGGCTAACCTCCTGAGTGACACAGTCCTTTCTGAGAATCTTGTGAAACCCGAGGACACTTGTCCCAGCACAACACAGACATTCATGGTTTTGGTGCCAGTTGTTGGAGTTTGTTGTACCACCCGCACCCCAAGAAATTCACTCATAGACACCCCAGCGAGATTCACTTCCATCTGTCTGAGAGTTTGTCTCCAGCCATAATAACTCTTCCCCAGCAGGGGTCCCTTGTTTGAGCACCCTCTGGAGTGTCCAGCTCAGCTCTGGCTTCAGAGCAGGTGTTGGGCATTTCTTGGCTTGGTAACTGTTAGAAATGCAGGGTGAGGCCGCGGCGGCCATTGGAGGGTGAACCAACGGCAAAGGAAGACCTTTCTCTCTGTCTCTCTCTCTCTCTCTCACTGTCCACTCTGCCTGTCAAAAAGAAAAAAAAAAAAAGAAATGCAGGGTGGCCAGAAGACGGCCTGCGCACGCAGTCCACACGTGCACACAGCCCACACATGTGTGGCTGCCCAACAGGCACATTGTAGCTGGTGTCCAAAAAAGAGCAAGAGCAGGAGAGAGAACATTCCGTGATAAAATTCAGAGCAGTAAGATATTCCCTGGGTCCCGGATCTGGGCATCCAGTGAGGCTGAGCAGAGGCAGGAACAGGGCAAGTCCCTGCCTCTGTTCTCCCTTCACTATAATGCAGGATCAACCGCCCCGCTGGCCAGTCACCTTTGAGTAGAGGGAACTTGGGCAAACTCCCAGTGACCTGGAAGGCAGCCTTAATGTCCAGCATCTGTGTCCGAACAAGGGAATGCCTACTTTCTTCTCTAAAATTATTTACTTATTTGAAAGGCAGAGATACACAAAAAGAAGAAGAGGGAG